TACAAGATACCGACAGTAGATAAATTATAAGACACCGACAGTAGGTAAGTTATCGATTATTACTATGTCATCATATTTATCGAGTGTAGTACAGATGATCAATCGTTTTAATTTCTGTATTCACCAACTGGTAGCGTTAGCTGCACTTGACAATCTCCCGACTCACACACTGACAATCCGCCGTCTGCTCCGCTCCGCTCCAGTTCTACTCTCCACTCTCTAGTGTATTTAAGTGTATCGTCGTGGACGGAGTCCACGCGCTCGCGTAAGGCTGGTGGAAGGTGGACTGTCGTTGTTGCGCCGAACGTTGACTTGTAAATCCCCGTCAAGTGTCGAGGAGAGCGAAGCGTCGTCGCGCGGCTTCCTGCCACCTTTACCGCCATCGAGTCGGAGTCTCCCCCAAAAAAGGAGCGCATCTACGTTACATTGGAGTGTATCTGCGGAAGCGGGACGCGCGTCCTACGGATCTTACGATTCGTACATCGTTCGCGAACGGTGTTCCAGCTGCAGCTGACATTCCGCGTCGAAACGCCGCGCCGTGCGTGGTTACTCGAATCGTCGCTAGAATCTCGCATTTTCGTTACTCCCGTTCCATTTCGATCCGGGCAAAATGGGGACGTTTTGTTACAACTTCTCCAAGTACTCGCTGGCGGCCATAAGCCTCGTGTTTTTGGTGAGTCCACTCCACGCGTCTGTTTCAGTCTCAGATCGATATGTAAATTTCCCTTTACTCGCATCTGGACGATTTAATTTGTTCTTATCCTTAACTCAATCTTATAATATCGATAAACATCCGATTCAGGCTGCCGATCCAGGTTGCAAGCAAAACATTTTGCGTTCTTTCTGTAATGTACACATATAATGCACATATAAACTTGAAAAGAGTTATGGAATGATGTTTTTGTCGCTCTTTGCCGCAAAAGTGATTTGCCTCGATTCGACATTAATTTTATGATGCGCAATTGATAAGTCCAGTTAACGTCATTCCGGGAAACCTTCACGATTGAATTCATCGCCGCCTCTCCCCTCATGATAAAATTTCGTTATATATCTCATTAGAAACCCGCATTAAATACCAACTAATACCAACGACCTAAAGTAGAGCGGAATTTGAGCTTTTTCATCCATTTCTCGCGTTTAATGTTTATGTTTCTGAACAGCACATGTTGATTATTTAAAGGTTGTACTTGTGCTCTCAAGCAATCATGATTGTATAATGTAATTGTATAGTTATAAGCATGTCATTGCAAAGAGACGTTGTTTGCTATCGCAAATTTTCTTTTATTACTTTAAAGTGGAAACTGATGGAATAACATCGCTTTTCTCTATATAATGTCACACTCAACAATATAAATGTAATTAATATATAAATGTAATATAAATGTAATGTAATATAATGTAATGAATATGTGATAAATATCCGATATCATATTTTTAAAAATATATCAGTGATTAGAGATGCATCGGATTCTAAAATTACGGAATATCGGATATCCGGTGACAAATTCTTTTCTGATATCCGATATCCAGTCGGATATCCGGTAAGGTAATTATTCAAAAAAGACTTCCGTGAAAAAAGGAAAAATAACGGTAATAATTTTCCTTCTGAACTGAAAAGAAAAAAAGGAAAGTTGAATTATATAAAAATGCAGTTAAAAAGAATGAAATTCTGCATTAATGATACAAATTGTCAACGAAATTTCAATAGGACATAATACCGGATACTAATAATATCCGGTTTATTCGCTCGGATAGTGCCGGATACTGAATTTCCCGGATATCCTGTGCATCCCCTATAAAAAAATCTTAAGTAAAACGTAAGCAAGCAAATTGGTCAATCACAGTACAAACTTTAAGGTATCATAAGCAGTAACAAATTCAACATGTTGATTTCCTTATTGCTTACGTTTTATTGCTTAAGTTTTTCTGTGTGCTGTGGCCCAACAGTTAAATTGTTGAGTATGAAATTAAAACATTAATATTACTGTTAGTTGTTTTAGAAAGTTACATCGCGAGGATCCCTGAATTTTCGCGAGATCGCAAATACGAATTATGTACGTACGATGAAAATATCGATAACGTAGGCCAGGAGTAACCATACGAAACGTAAAAAACAACTAGTAAGGAAGAATGATTGAAGCGAGCGGAAGGCGAACGATCGCGCGGTTTTCGACGATGGCAGAGTATGAATAAATATTGATCGGAACAAAATGGCTCTCGTCAAGACGTCACGCGTTTATCGCACGATCGACCTTAAAATCAACAATTTCGAAATATTCATCTTAGACGAGCGCGTGTTTAAATATAGTCTCGCGGTCGAAGAGCGCGAGAGCGCGTTTCTTCCTACGAGCATTCGGCCCACGTTACGGCCCAATTCCTTCCTCTCGCCTCTCCTCGTCAGACAATATTAACGAAGGAGTGCCTTCCGAGAGACGGCTGCACTTTACTCTGACTATATTTGATATAATCGCTATGTAAGCTCGTTTAAAGTTTCGTCGCGTTTACGACTGCGGCGCAAGATTTTGTTGTTTCCTGTCTAACGTGGAATATCTACTGTGCTTTGTATTCCTAGGATAACTCCTTCGAATACAAGTTATACATATAAATATATATAATAAATACATATAATATTCTTGATATTAGTATCTTTAATATCCGTAATCTTAATATCCGTAAAATATTATTAAAATGTTAATTAATATTAATTATTATATATATATATAAGATCATAATGTGAATTCAGAATAAGTAACAACAAGCTCTTATCGGTCTGAGCTGATCTTAATGTTTAAATAATGTTTTAGCGCGATTTTATGTACACATCTAGTTTTGCGCGACTATCATTTTCAGTTTTCACACGCAGTTTTAAATCGAATTGATGTGATAGGAAGAATTGATGTGATTTTACAAATTAAAGTAAACATTATTATGTCCAAAAAATATTATATATTATAATATTATATTGTAATAATGTTGAATATTATTTTTTTCAGTAATTAATAATATCAGAAGTTGGCATATAATAATCTATTAATATTAAGAGAATATTATTTAATATTAATAACAGTAAAATATTATTAAAAATATTATTTTCATAAGATTCACTTCTAAGAATACGCCTAAGATATTACTTAACATTAAATACTATTACACGCTTATAGAATGATGATCAATATTACAGTTGATTATATTATTAGAGCTATAGTTCGAAAATGTGATTTTTTTTAGTTTGTGTAGAAATAAAATCAATATATTAAAGATTGTATGATAATTTTTAATGGACAATTGTGCATCAAAATACACTAAAAAGGTAGATATTTCTTTAATACTTTAAATATTAATTTTTTTTTTTACATAATTATGAATCATGAAGTAAAAAGGTAACAATTAATTTCTGATATGACAAATTCAAAAAATATAAATAAATGACAAACGAGCAATTGAAAATTGGCCCAGTGAATGGTGCGTAATTAGCTTTAAAAGGTTGTACTACAATATTAACATCTTGACAGAAATACACACGAATTATGTTCGGTTCATTGTGAGATTTTAGTAATTTTTAACCTTGTGACTGATAAGATTGTCTCTTGAATGGAGGAATGATTACCGCATAGTGATTACGATCGGATTAACATCACTTATTGTAACAACTCATTTATTCAACTATAACTATCGTTGTTAAGTCTCTATTGCGAGTCTCTATTTGCTGAAGAAGGCTAAACTAATCGAAACATGTACAATTTACTCAATTTTATTATATAAGATAAAACTTTTAAAGTTAATTACGCACTGTTCACTGTGCCAATTTCCATTTGTCATTTATTTATATTTTTTACATAAAGTAAAAATGACAACATTTATGGCTGTGTTCAACAAAGAAAACTAATTAGTTAATTTTCGCGAAAATTAGTGATTCTCCAATACAATTGGTTTCTACACTTAAATTCAATAAAGAATTAAAGGCAAGAACCAATTTATTAAAGAATCACTAAGCGCTAATTGGTTTTCTCTGCTGAATGCAGTCTATATTTGGTAACGCTGTCTTTTTCTACAATTACCGTGTCAATTCGTTCGGGTATACTTTCTACTACGTTTTAAGTAATTTATTTTGATTGCTTTACTATATGATATCTACACATATATGATACCTACACATTAATCAAACCTACGATTAATTGACATTTGTTGGTGATTCCTTGAAAATTTTCCTTTTCATCAATTCACAAAGATTCTTGATGATTAAATATATCTGAGAGATAGTATTACCTATAGTAGTATAGATTAAGTAGATTTAAAATTTGTAAATGTCAATATTTTATAAAAAAAATAATAACACAGTATCACTATATTATTTATTAAAAAGTTAATTGCAACTTCAATGTAAAACCGTTAATTTGTGCCGATTCTAATAATTTGATTACCCAATGTAAATATTTTATGACATTTAAATATTTTATAACTGATAATTGGAAATGACAAAATCTGCTGTAGTCTATTGACATCGACATTAGATAATTCTGTTGACAGAATATGAGTTTAATGTGGACGCAGCTGATGCCAATCTGCCGCGTTCTTCCGCTTCAATCTACTGTTTAACGTCCCAGTAAGCAAATTGCTCGCCAATAACGTGCCAACAAATTGATGGCATATTTATTCAGATATTGTAACAAATCCAATATCATTTATTTGCGCGTTAAGTTCATGTTTTTTTCGGCAGAAGATTCGGCTTGTAGATGTATTCTAAAGGTAGATTATTACCGGCAAAAATCGACTAAAATCTGTTTTTTTGTAAATATTTGAACAGAATGTTCAATGTCAAATATCATAATTTAAACGATTATGAAAGATAGATTTTCCTTGGTTACTGTAGTCCATTCGCTATTCTGTTGATAGATTTTGTTACATTTCTGCAGGTGTTTTGCTGGCAAAATTTATGATGGCAGACATTGTGTAAGATCTATTCTTAACAGATTTAAATTGTTTCTCAACAGCTAACGTTCAATGTTCCTGAAATATTTATAAAATATTCATAAAGTCTTAAAGTAACATTTCAAGGATATTCTTGTATATTCCGAAATATTTACATGTAGAAACAATATTTAAGTGATTGAAAATATTCCATTCATACCGTTATATGTTTCCATAGAATATTACCACACATATATTTTTAACAATTATAATTCTTTCAAGAATACTACTCCTCCTTAAATTAATTTTTAAACAGAACTAAACGAAATTGTACTGTCAATAAATATTTTATTTACTTTCACTTTGGAGCCCAATTTTGGGATTAATCTTCACGAATGAAATGCTGTGCCTTTTATTCCATTCTAAATGATTTTTGTTTACGAGAAATACTTCACCATGTCCAACCTGCATCAACGATGCGTATTATTCGCAGGTGATTGATTTCAATTGTATATAGATATTGACATACAAGAAATGTTGATAACATTCTGAACAATTCATTAACATTTGAACATTCTATGAAAATTCTTTTATTGTTCCATTTGAAATATAAATCGAACATTTTATGAATATTTAATATTATTTGGGTTAACTTTGTCAAGGTTGTCGCACACATTTCCCATAACAATAATAATCATAAGACATATTCTAAGTATTAGCCAATCACAGTAAAAAATTATAAAAAATTTTCAGTTTTTATTGACTAATTTTTACCGAGATTCTACAATGGCTGCGTTCAGCAGAACAGTTTTGTAACAGCTTTGTGATTGTTTGCAGAGATAGGACCATTCATCTAAATCTAAAACAATAATTCAATTAGCATGAAGAAAACTTCCCACAGTTACAAAATAAACGTTCTGTTGAATGCAGTTATTGAGTCGATAGTCGAAAGTCCTAAGCGGTCCTAAGTCTTAATCGATGAAGTTGGCCAATAGCCAACTTGTATGTACGATTAAGGTTCTACTCTAAAGCCTGTTCTACAATAGGATTGCAAGCCGTAAACCGTAAAAAACTGGCCAATCACAGTTGAATATGATAAAAATAATTGACTATGATTAGTTAATTTCTTACGGCTTATGGTTTGCAATCCTATTGTAGAATAAGCTTTCGACTAGTTAAGACTTTCGATTGATTATCAACTCATTATAGAATCTCCTTACGATTACGATTACGAAAAGTATGTGTGGGCTTTCAAGGCTTTTACGTGTTGAGGTGCGTGTTGGTGTTTCATCAAGACAAGATTTCTTGTCTTAAAGAACATTTCTTGTTTTGTCTTGATTTTCAAGACAAGAAATTTTGTTTTTTTGTCTTAACCATTTCTTGAATTGTATTTCTTGTCTTGAATTCAAGAATCTTGAATTTCTTGAAATTTCTTGATTTTTTAAACCCTTGTGACTCTTTGATATGTCGTAAAAGATAATGAGAAAACATAGGTGCATTGAATGTCGAGTCATCTCGTAATAGTTTACTATAAACTTTAAATTCATATTTTAAAAGTGCCTATAATATCTATTATGCACAAATCTATTAATAAAGATTAAAAATATTTCTCAAATTATCATTTTTAATATCATGAGGTTGCCAAATGTAACTATTTCAGATTATTAGATTCCTGAGATTATTAGATATAATAATTATTATAATTACTATATATTTTAATCATTCCTGATTTAATTGATATTATTAGTAGAAGTACGCAAATGTTTACATAATAAACTTTTGCAAGTAATCTCGCAATATTGATTTTATGTATTCCTTTACATAAATGTAAAAATTAATATCTGGTACGCGTATCGGTGAATATAATTTAATTTGGTTAGATCAGAGACTTTATTAGTTTTTCATTAATCGATTTACACTCTGCTCATATGCTACTTAGTGAAAATATATGAATATACGTTTCTATATTATATAATCTATTATAATCTATTATATCAATAAATACAATTGAAAATGTTGAAACCTAACTTATTCAAAACTTTTCAAATCAGAAATAAAATAATAAAATATTATAATATTAATAAAGTATTATATACTAAAAGTAAAAACTCACGGAAATTTCAACAAATTTCTTATCAAGAAATCTTGATCTTGATAACAACTTCTTGTCTTGTCTTGAAATCAATTTTCAATTTCTTGTTTTGGTCTTGTCTTGATTTAAGATAAAACCAAGACAAGATTTCATGAATTTCTTGATGAAACACTAGTGCATATAGATTCGCATGATAGTGTTAGAATGGAGAGAATGTCGGAAATCATCGAGATCGCTCTGGATAGTCGCGGTTGATATTAACTCTGATATTAGCGGGATGGAATCCGTTTCTGATTCATCGAATCGTTTTTAGTTGTTGCGCGTGCTCTTACATCAACTCTCGTGTTATAGCGAAAACTTCTATTCTCGCCATGCGACGAATAAGAGGAGACATATGAGGAATCCCTCCTTTTTCATTTTAAAGCCATGCTTATATATTCGAATAGAAGTTTTGTAGTGTTCAACATTTCAAGAAGCTTCAACATTTTCTTTTCGATTAGAATTTCGATTAGAATCTTTTTACGTTTTCTTATATATTTTTGTTCATATTTATTATTTAAACTAGTTGATCGAACTCGTAGAACGCTTGAAAATAACGTTGGCATTTTGTATGCCAAGAACGTTTCTTCTTTCTCCTTCTCTTTAATCCGTGAATCTACGTCAATGTTGGAAGAGACGCATGACAGGAAACCCCGCGATAATCCGCGCGCTTAAATGGAAGCTGCCATATCTGGCGGACAGACAATTCATTGTAAATGTCCCGTACCTTCTCCTTCGTCCAGGTTTGGTTCATAAAGTGGCTCGTTAATCTCTCTCATTCTGTAACATCGATACTCGCACGAATGCTTGAAAATCCCTTTATGGACTCGCTATTTTGCAACTTTGTTATTCGAACAATTCCAAACATAAATGACTTATGAATAGAAGCAATTTTTTGACTGGAAAATAAATTAAACCAGGAATATTTACCAGTTCTTTTTAAATAAATGATCACTTGGTGTTTTTTCACACTTCAATTAAAATCGTTATTCAATATCTGAAGATGTTAATATAGCTTCGTGATTGGTTTATGATATCTTGATTATATTTAAGACGCTTTTAAATATAAAAATCGATTTTGAATAAAAATTATTGTGTTAATTACATATTGCATTATATTGGTTAACAATTTTTCTCAATCTATTAATTATATACAGTCCAACAAGATTATTTGCAGCGAGCAGAACCGTATTTCTTAATAAATTCAGAATTACTGAATCCAAATCTGCCAGCGAAAGATGTCCATATCAGATTTTTGAGATAAATCAAGTAATATAAGCCAAAAACATTTTTTGCCATTTTTTTGTGCTAAACGAAATTTTATTTTTCAATTTTAATAACGTCACTCTAAAGAACTAATCTTTTAGAAAGAATTTTCATTTTTTACTGCGATTTTTTTTCATCGAATTATATGAACGTTTTCTGAAATGTAAAATGGCAAATCCAAATTAGCGGATTAAAACTGGAAAGTAGATAGATTTGTATTAAAAAAATGTCTTAGGCGAAATGTCTTTTTCGAGGTCGCTGATACCGAATCTGAAAAACTTAAAATAGAGAAATTTAAAATGACGGACTGAAATATGAAAAGTGACTCGTTTTGATAAAAGTGGACTCGAGGATTTTTGAAGTCGCTGCTTATGATTCTGAATTCAAAATTACGAAATTTAAAATGATAAACCCAACATGAATAAATTGATAAATACAAATACTTTTTTTATACAAATCTTTCTATCTACTTTTTTGGCTCATATTACTATTATATTTGTTTCAAAAATCTATTGACACGATAGACATCTTTCGCTGGCGGATTTGGATTCAGCGAACTTGAATTTATTAAGAAATACTAGCCCTGCTCGCCGCAAGAAGAAAAGGTCAAATTTTATCGGATAGTGTAATCGAAGCTGTGTCTAAATTGAACATACATGAACAAATGTGAATCTTTATCGAGAAACATATAACAAAGATAATGCTAATCCTTTCTTTTTACAGATCATCTCGGTAACAGTGATTACCATGGTAGCATGTATGTTATCGGACAGAACGTATTTAGTATCGATCGCCGAGGAAGGAAACAACTATGAAGCAGGCTTATACATTCTGCTCTTCACCGGAATTCTTATGCTCATCGTCTCTATTTTGGGCTGGTGTAGTGCTTTGAAACTTTTTCGATATTGTCTGGCCACTTTCATCAGCATCATGCTTGTTATCGTCGTCGCGCAAATTGCATTCGCAGGATGGCTTTACGCTCATAAAGATCGTTTGGACGAATTGGTGCGATCTTCCGTGATAAACACTGTTAAGGTAATTTCCCTTTCAATTATAAGATGTCTATTGTACGCTAAATTCAACAATTTCACGAAGTGATTCTTGACCATTGTTATTATATGATAATTGTATGTTACGAAAATAAGCATGTCCTATTATTTTCGTAGGATGAATACGGTGAGATACAATGTCGCACGCAAATTATGGATACAATTCAATCCACTCTTGAATGCTGCGGAGCCAATGGACCTGAAGATTGGGCTGGCAGCAAATATGGAAAACAAGATTCTTCTCAAATACGCCTCAATTTTGGCGTTTCAAACGCCGAAAACATATTCAGAATACCAAAATCCTGTTGCAAAGATACAGATAGCACCGCCTGCAATCAAGGACGTCAGATGAAAGTTGCCGGAGTCGTGAGCTCTGCGATTTATAGTGAGGTAATGCTTGTTTTTATATTGCTATATTAATTAATTAATTAATTTGCTATGTAATCTTATGCAAGCTTTATGTTTATTACATATAGTGTAGCGTATAAATAAAAAAATTTGTTGTAGGGATGTATGGAAAAGTTGGTTACTACACTGAAGACGCAGACTTATCATTTTATGGGTGCAGCGGTATTAGTTTTAGCCTTAGAAATCGTTAGTCTAATACTCGCTTTAATTTGCTGTTACAAAGGCGGATCGTCAGATAGATACAAAGCTTAAACTGATTTCATCGAGCGTATCATGTAAGAATCTTTCCTCTATCGGGTGTCCCACAATAACAGCATAATACCAAAAATAATCAAACTTTTGTTTTTGTGCCAACACCAGTTTTTTGTTTTGGATACTAAATTGTATTTTATGTTCGGCCATGTAAGACAAACGAAATGTTTATCTTATTTTCACATAATATATTTAATAAGTAACCAATGCTTATATTGTGTTTTATTATTATATGTATAAATTGGTATGCGTTATTTTGGGACCAATTCAAGATCTGATTCACATAATAGCATCATTATATTTTATTATTATTATTTTAATAATAATGTAAATAACTTAGTATATCTCTTTTTAACATATAGAGAATTTGTATATTTTATAAAATTGATTTTTACAATTTACATACGCACACAAATGACTCATACTTGCAAGAGTGATATTTAATTTTTTGATTGATCTGTCTTAAAGAGGTACAAAGATATGACAGGTATTAAATTAAAATGTATAATTGTATGAAATTTTTATCGACATGCATATATAAATTTCGAAAAAAAATTATATCTCTATACAAATTTATTAAATCGAAAAGATAATCAGATGTTTCATAACTGTTTGCATCAATTTGAGCAGACATATGTGTAACTTGTATAAGATACATATATGTATATATTATATATATA